CAATTTTAGATTAATTAAAGAGCAGCCACATGCAGCATCTTTAATTTACTAAAAATTGACTATGGTTTAAATTACATAAAGATTGGCAATGATAATTGTCTAGTGATCTTATAATTTTAATGAGTTGGGGAGTAGCCACATCATCCTTAATTAGTTAAAATTATATATTAAGCAGTTTATCTTGATCACATACAGTTTTACATATCATTTGTGATTAATTGTATGTAATATGATGGAATTTAGCCCACAGGCAATTTCGTTATATTTGTATAGTTAATCAGGATGAAATACTGGACTACGGTCATAATTTAGCCCACAGGCAATTATGTATCGGAATGTGGTTTAGTAGTTTTATCAGTGATGATAGAAATAAATTAATTTTATTTACTTTATGGTTATTTGTAAATAATTCTCATCTCTATCATAAAGTTTAATTTTATGATGTAAATTTTTAAATCATATTTCTTAATTTACCCACAGGGATTAAGGAAATGAACATGATTTCTTAAGTTTTTTTTTTATCATAATACTTGTTGTGAATCTTATTGAGTAAAACTTTAGCCTACAGGCAAGTTTTATGTCACTTGATTCTTCAACTTATTTGATAATTGTTTCATCATAAAATTTCAGTTGGATCTAATTGAGTAAAACTTTAGCTCACGGGCAAGTTTTATGTCACTAGATTCTTCTCTCTATTTAGTAATTGAGATAACATATTATCATAAGGGTTTAGTTGGACTTAATAGAATTAAAACTTTAGCCCACAGGCAAGTTTTATGTCAATAAATCCTTTAACCCATTAGGTAATAATTTTATCACAATTTCTTAGAATTTATAAATTTAGTTCAATTATAATTCTAAGTTTCATGGTTTGCATTGGCAAAACATGTATTCAGTCACTTCCCAAAATTTAGCCGCCTTTATTAATTGCTTCACGAACTTACTTGGTTATTTGGATCAACTATAGTAAGTTATGTGATGTGATATACCTCTTTTGGATTCCAAGACTAAAATATACCTTTTGAGCCAAATTCTAACTTGGTTTTGGAAGGTGTGTTTTATTATTTTAGTATGTCCAACTAATGGTGGGGAATTAATATCTTCATTATTTAGTTGGACTTTAATTGGAACCAAAAATTGATTATTTAGTATGTCCAACTAATGGTGGGGAATTATGTCTTCATTTGTTAGTTGGTCAAATCAATTACGAGTACGTATATCATTAATTTTGCTAAAGAATATCTTAATCAGTGGGAGTGATCATTTAGAAAAAGATCATTAAGATACTCCATAATCAGTGGGAGTGATCATTTAGAAAAAGATCATTAAGATACTCCATTAAAGATTTTGGATTTAATTGACTTCATGCATCCCGTATTGGATTGTATGTAAAACAATAAGTCCAAAAGATTCCACAAGTATTAATATTGTATTTGTTCATATAAATTCATATTGGTTTAGCAACATATTTATGAAAAATGTTGTAACAATATTAAGGAGTTTATTAGAACAAAACATATAACTTGTGGTGCACTGTTAAATAATAAATTCTTCAGCACGCATTTAATAGTCTTTAGTTTCTTCAAAATTGATCCTGGGCCATTTTAGTTTGTAAGGCTCAAGACAATTTTGAGAAACATAAAAGTAATACTCATAATGTTCAGTTCATTTTGAGGTGGACCTTAAGATTATTTGGGAAGTTATGGTGTATGTTTAAGATTCCAAATTTATGGACTTAGACCTTTGGTTTATTGTCTAAGTTGTTGGAATGCTTCTATGACTAAACTACCTTTTGGCTATTTTGATGAGTGGGAGTGACAGACGTGTCAACTCCAAGCTCTTAGCCGTTAGATGTAGTTCTTATGTTAACTTATAAAGAAGTCATGGAATATATAGTTAGCATTATGCTAACATTAAGAGATCTCTACTTAAGGCATGCTTTTAAGGATCTTAGAGATCATACAATGTACTCTTTTGTACAATTTGGATGATTTTCTCTCTTAAGTTGCGCATATACATTTTATTTTGAGAAACATCCCTTCAGGTACCAAGAATAAACATTGGGTTTGTTCATAAAGGATTCAAGTTGGGGAATCAAATATGCATGTGATCATAGGAGATATTACTCACTTATTCAGTAGAGGACATATTACTATGATTCGTGTGTTTTGTTCTTTAATGCGAATTGTGCTATTACTTGCACCAAGTGGGAGATTGTAAGACTTTCCCGTATAATATATATTATATATTATGGGTCTTACTTATGTGGTGCAAGTGGACTAGGCCCATTAAGTAATTGGTTGGGTTGGACCTTTAGGTTTAAGTCTTATATCCACCAATGTGCCTATATAAAGCTTGTATTGATGGGATACAAGATACATGAATATTATATGGTACTCATACTGCTCAGAAAATACCAGTACACCATCTAGGGTTCTGAGTCAAGTATGAAACAAAACGGCTAACCCTATTCTGCAGATCTACCGTTCAAGAGGCAACACAACATGATATCAACCATGGCTGGAGATCTACAATGCTTCCGCTTCCGCTGCTACGAGTTAAGTTTCTCGTAGATTATGCTTTGTATATTTAAATCTCACAAATTATCGATCCTATATATCTTAATTAATTTGTATGATATTTATAAATATATCTTTTATACAATATGCATATTACTTCTCATACTCTAATTTTACTCTCAGTTTCCTATTTACAATTACCCGAATCTATGCCAAATCCAATTAATATCTACAAGCTTAGCTTTCACTACAGCTAGAATCACTTAGATTATGATGATATTGTAGTCTCTTACTTTCTATTGTAGACTAGCGCCCACATGCATATTAAATTTGCCACATGCATGAACTATGGCAAATTATTGTGTGGATTGTGGTCCACATAGTTTGTGGATTACGTTCCAAACCGATGTCGTTGAATTTTATGAGTTGGAATAACGTACATTATATGTTTGAATAATGTATATTATGTGTTAGAATAATGTCCATTATGAGATAAAATAATGAAATTTCTGAGATAAAATAATGAAATTTCTGAGATAAGATAATGTACATTATGTGTTAAAATAATGTACTTTATATATAAGAATAATTGCAGCCGGTCGCATAAAAAAAATAAAAGTACACGAAACGACGTCGTTTTTGGATGGTGATCGACACAAGTGTATAACTTGTATACATGCATACACCCAAGGGATGATCTTTGTTCTTTGATTTTGTACGTGGCATGTGATCAGAGTACCATACACCAAAGGTTATTTAATTCCATGTTTTCTGTTGTTTTCTTTGGTCTTGACTAGAATTTGTACGTTTGGCAATGATAGATATCGTGAAGATCGAATGTCGGAGGAACAACTTATGCCATCTGTTTATTGTGGATTAAATTAAGTGCATATAATGATGTGGAGGTTCCAATATTTATTTGATTTTAAGAAAATTTACGGTGCTGATTAGTATTGGAATCCTTTGTACCGGGTATAAGTTATAAAAAAATAAAATTAAAATAGTAATAAGTTTGTATCGGTAAACTCAAAACATTTTCATTTGCAAGGGTAATAGTAGTAATAGGAAGCCGGACGGCGTGAGGCCGAAGCGGAGAATCCGAGAAGCAGAGTCGCGAAGAAGATCCACAGAGACTCCAGAATGATTAGGATTTAGGAATTGTGATTTTAGATTTTTGGGATAAAATAAGAAATAATAATTTTAGGTTATTACTGAGAATTCAGAAATAGCCTAATACCAGGGGTGTCAGGAATCTCTATTACTCTTACAAGGGGAATAAGTCATTCACAGGAACAATGTTCCTGCCAATAGAAGATTTTACCAAACAAAGGAATATGCCTATTACCATTCCAGGCTATTCCACGAACCAAACGTGTCATTAGAGTTGTATTGAGTATAAGCGCACCAGAACTTTATTCAAACTTAGGAGTTCAATTACACTATCTGTTTGATTTAAGGGCTAATTTGACAAGTACCTTTTTTCTTTTAATCTATCTTGTAATTTTCATATTTTGACATGAAAATAACATTTTTTTAGATATTGATGGCAACTCGTAACCATTACTCGAGACTATATACTGACTAAATCCTGTGTGACAATTAAGTTCGATTGAGTGGGAGTTGACAATAATCAAACTCAGCTCATAACTTTTTGGTACGAGAATCATGTTACACCCGCTCAACCTAACCACTCCTTTTGGAACAACTATAGGTTTTTTTTTTAAAAAAAATTTATAGTTGTGTATAAACTGACTGGTCTTATTACAAATTTTTAAAAATGTACTTAATAATTAAGTACCCAAAAAAATCAAATCAAATAATATCACGTTGAGAGGGAATATTAAAACGTCAATTTAAAAAAAAAATGTAATATCAGTCGGAATAATAATAATAATATTGCAGGCAGGCCATGTAATTGTACGTACCACATAGTAAATGCAATGCATAAAGCAAAATATTTGGTCCAATCCATCTATTCTGTACCAAATTAACCACACACCAAAGGTTTATAAAGTTTGTGTTTTGGGGAATCAAATTCTCCTTACCTTAATGGCTTCATTTTGAAGTATATATACACACACCGTGATGCCGTCAATTATTGCTAGTAGGTAGTTAGAAATTAATTTTGGCCGATGCCTTATGATGCTATATGTGTTAGAATAATAATAATAATTATTATTATTATTCTATGATTCATTATAATTTATTGTGGCTCATAATTAAATATTTATTTATAATTTAATAATGAAGATAATCTTGTGATTGGCCAGTTAAGAAGATAAGATTGTAGTTTCAACTGCATATGATCAGGTTTACGTTGATGGAACGTATTATTATTTATATTTCATATATGAGATTCTGGTCCTCTCCCCAACCACTCTAAAAAATTAAAACTCTCCCCACCAGAGAATTAGATTAAGTGAATGTTAAAGGTCTGGAGGGAGAAATCAAGTTTCTAACTCAAGCAACTACAGGATAACAATGGAGCCAGGTATGTTCCCAGAACGCTATTTAAATACAGTATTTTAAAGGCATGTGTTCTGAAGATCTTATGTTTTAGGATTAACTTACATGTGGTATCAAGAGCCAAGTTGTAGAACATATGTTTTTCCATATATTATGATGAAAGGTTGTATGTACGTTCTTTTGATGATATGAAGCATAAAGATTACTATAACTGTGGTGTACTTCGTTTATATATGTATGTATGTACTGTTGATTTACTTGCATATGTATGCACTGGTTTGGTAATCAATGATTTGCCGCATGGTTTCGTAATGATTTACAATGACTTCGTAAAATGTTGATGGCATGAATTGAGTTTGTTTATTAACTTTTGCTTATGTATGTATTGTTTATTATATGGTTTTTATGTGTTTAAACTTACTGCTTAAGCATTCATACGTACTGCATATATACGTTAGCTTTATATACATACGCAGACATCTTTTTTATTTTTGGCTTCCATTGTTGCGTTTTGTTGCTGCGTTTCCGTATGTTTATATATTAATGATGACGAGTGTTGCTCTATATATGGCTTTATTTGTATATATATATATAAAGTATTTCGTATGTGCAGTGTTTGATAGTATGCATTGGATTTGTTGTTTGTACGTACTATCTGTATTGGTTATATAAAAGAATAGAAAGCATGTGATGGATTGCAATGAAGTTTTGATACTGCATAGTCTCTCGTAATTATGGTATTACTGCATATGTCCATAATGATAATCATTACTATATATCATACTTCATGTTTGCGTATCATCATTGTTGCTTTCTATTTATATGCATATTTAATGTTTAAGTTTTCGTATGTGCTGGACCAGTAGTGAGTTTTGTTAAACAAATGATGCATATATATATTATAGGACCTATATATATATATATATATATATATATATATATATATATATATATATATATATATATATATATATATATATATAATGTTTAAGTGTTCTACAGTAATATGCAGTGATATATGAATTTTTCTGTATCATGCATTTAATGTGTTTAAAGTGTAAACATAGGATGGATTACAGTATAAAGGATTATGCATATATAGGATTAATGGAGTATCTGATACTGTGTGCACATGTTTATAATAATTGTGTTTGGCGCATGGTTTTTAAAGCATGAGAAATCATGGTGCATGTGTTTATTGCTTCCGCCATATAACTGCATATTAATTTGTATAATTAATTGTATGTTAATTAATTATGTGATAATTATGTATGTGGATTAATTATGATTCTTTGTAACCAACATGATTTGTATGGTGGTTTAGAACCTCGTCCCTTAAACTTGAGGTAAGGGGTTCGATCTCCACCCATGTAAATGAAGCAAGTCATTTGGCTTGCATATTAGTGATAGTGGATATTTTATGATATTATTTATTATAATATATTCACTTAACTTGGTATCTAATTATGATTAATTTGTTAGTCACCAAAGTGGCCAAATTATAAAGTTTTAATAGATATCAAATTTAAATAAATTTCAATTACTCATGATTATGTGATGCTTATAATGAGATGACATGTTTTTTATTTTCTATAGTATTGGGTAAATTGAAGTTTAATAATTTTGAAATATTTAAGAGTCGCCCAAAGGTGACCAATTATTTCATAAGTATAAACATAATAGTGGTTAATTATTTATATTTGATTGAGTTGTTTAGCATATCCAAAGATAGCAAACAAGTCCAGTCATAATATATTTAATCGCCAATTATATGAATTATTTTTGCATCGGATTATGTTTAAAGTTATATGTTGTTGGATCACCCAAAGGAGACCTTCAATGTATTTAATTGTTTATGATTATGTTGATTAAATCTGTTTATCTGTTTACGTATTTGAAATATAATTAATGTTTGAGTATTTTATATTCATTGCAGCATCTAGTTGTGTTTCAATTCATTCGCAAGTTGCGTCTATTGTTAAGTATAATGGGCTGAATTTTGCTGAGTGGAATGAACAAATTCAGTTTCACCTCGGTGTTTTGGATCTTGATCTAGCACTCTTGAATGACAAGCCCACTGCTATTAATGATAATAGCAGTGATGATGATGTTGCTTTCCATCAAGCATGGGAAAAATCGAATAAACTCAGCTTAATGCTTATGCGAATGACACTTGGAAACAACATTAAGTCCACAATTCCCAAATTTGACAGTGCTAAGGATATGTTGAAACATGTGGAGGAAAATTCACATTCTGAATGTGCTGATGAGGCCCAAGCAGGCACTCTCATGAGTAAACTAACCAACATGAAATTTGATGGTTCGTGTTCCATGCATGATCATGATGGAAATGGACGTGAGTGATACTTTCCTTGTACAATTTTTTTTAAAAACTCTATGCCTCTCGAGTATGAGACATTCCAAGTGAATTAAAATTTCATTAAAGATAAGTGGAAGTGTTCGAATTGCATAAAATGCTAACTCGAGAGGAAACAAGTCTTAAAACAAGGAATTCACTCAATTAATCTCATGGGTCAGTCAAGGGCTGGTAAGACGTTTAGAAAGAAGAATCATAAGGGTAAGAAATGACCAATGAAGACTAATGAGTCCTCTTCTCAAATCCACAAAAAGGAACATAAGAATGACAAGTGTCATTTCTGTAAGAAATCTGGACATTCTCAGAGAGATTGCCTTAAGCGTAAGGCATAGTTTGAAAAGAAAGGTATACATTATATATCAGTATGTTTCGAATCAAATATAACTGAAGTTCCTTATAATACTTGGTGGATAGATTATGGTTCCACTACTCATGTTTCGAATACTATGCAGGGATTCCTTATGACCCAAACCATAAAGCCAAATGAAAAATTTGTGTTCATGGGGAATCGTGTCAAAGCTCCAGTAGAAGCCATTGGAACTTACCGTTTAATTTTAGATACTGGAAATCATTTGGATTTGTTTGAAACTCTTTATGTTCCTTCAGTTTCTAGGAATTTAATTTCTTTGTCAAAACTGGATTATTATGGTTTTTCCTTTAAATTTGGAAATGGATGTTTTAGTTTATTCAAACAAAATCATTTTATTGGTTCTGGTATTCTTTCCGATGGCTTGTACAAACTAAAGCTTGACAATCTTTTTTGCTGAAACTCTATTAACCCTGCATCATTGTATTGGAACTAAACGAAGTTTAGTGGATGAAAGATCAGCTTACTTGTGGCATAAACGTTTGGGTCACATATCTAAGGAAAGGATTCAAAGAGTTGTAAAGAATGAAATCCTTCCCGAATTAGATTTTACTGATCTAGGTATTTGTGTGGACTGTATTAAAGGAAAACATTCAAACCACACAAATAAGAATGCAGCCACAAGAAGCACACAGCTCCTTGAAATTATACACACTGATATATGTGGACCTTTTGATGTCCCAACCTTCGGAAAAGAAAAATATTTCATCACATTTATTGATGATTTTTCACGTTATGGTTATGTCTATTTGTTGCATGAAAAATCTCAATCAATAAATGCCTTAGAGGTATTTGTGGATGAGGTTGAAAGACAATTGGACAAAAAGGTGAAAATTATAAGATCCGATAGGGGTGGTGAATATTATGGAAGGTATACTGAAAATGGACAATGCCCAGGTCCATTTGCTAAGTTTCTTGAAAAACGTGACATTTGTGCTCAATACACAATGCCCGGTACGCCACAACAAAATGGCGTTGCAGAAAGGTGTAATCGTACATTGATGGAAATGGTTAGGAGTATGATGAGTTATTCTTCTTTACCCTTATCATTGTGGACATATGCTTTAAAAAACGCTGCCTATTTATTAAACAGGGTTCCTAGTAAGGCAGTTTCAAAAACACCATTTGAACTGTGGACAGGAAGGAAACCTGGTTTAAGGCACCTTCATGTTTGGGGATGCCCAGCGGAGATACGCATTTATAATCCACATGAAAAGAAACTGGACTCAAGAACAACTAGTGGGTTTTTCATTGGTTATCCAGATAAATCTAAAGGGTATAGATTCTACTGTCCTAGCCATACTACTAGAATTGTTGAGACTGGAAATGCCAAGTTCATTGAGAATGATAACATAAGTGGGAGCGTTGAACCACGAAAAGTGGAACTTAAAGAAGTTACAGTGCAAGATTCTCTGATATCTTCTTCTCAAATTGTTGTTCCTGTGCGAAAAATTACTCTACCTAGAGTTACTCAAATTGCTCATCCTGCAACGGTTGAACAATTTAGTCACTTGCCTGAACAACAAATTAATGATCAAGAGATTAATGAGCAACCACTCCATGATGAAGTTAACAATGAACCCACAAATGATATTCCTACAGAAGTAGCATTAAGAAGATCTCAAAGACAAAGGAGATCTGCTATATCTGATGATTATGTGGTTTATCTTCAAGAATCAGATTTTGACATTGGTATTGATGAAGATCCAGTTTCATTTTCACATGCTATAAATAGTCCTAATTCTTCTAAATGGGTCGAAGCCATGAAAGATGAGTTAAAATCAATGGAACATAATGAAGTATGGGATCTTGTTGAATTGCCTAAAGGTTGTAAGCCCGTTGGCTTAAATGGGTTTTTAAGACCAAACACGACTCAAATGGCAATATTTAATGATACAAGGCCAGACGTGTTGCCAGAGGTTTTACTCAAAAGGATGGTATTGATTTCAATGAAACATTTTCACCTGTTTCAAAGAAAGATTCATTTAGAATAATTATGACACTAGTAGCTCATTATGACTTAGAGCTACAACATAAGGATGTGAAAACTGTCTTTCTGTATGAAAATTTAGAGGAAGAAATTTACATGAAGCATCCTGAGGGTTTTTTTTCGATTGAAGGAAAGGAACACATGGTGTGTAAACTTAACAGATCGATATATGGACTTAGACAAGCTTCCCGACAATGGTATCTTAAGTTTAATGATACTGTAACGACCTTTGGATTTAAGGAAAACACCGTTGATCAGTGTATATATCTGAAGGTCAGTGGGAGCAAGTTTATATTTTTGATTCTGTATGTCGATTACATTTTGCTTGGTACTAATGATCTTGGTTTAATGCATGAGACCAAGCAATTTCTTTCTAAGCACTTTGAAATGAAAGATATGGGTGAGGCATCCTTTGTGATTGGAATTGAAATATTTCGTAATAGATCACAAGGAGTGTTAGGATTGTCTCAGAGAACATATATTAACAAAGTCTTAGAAAGATTTAGAATGGAAAAATGCTCTGCATCAGTTGCTCCAATTCAGAAGGGAGATAAGTTCAGCCTTATGCAATGCCCTAAGAATGAATTGGAGCGTAAGGAAATGGAAAATATTCCTTATGCATCTGTTGTTGGGAGTTTGATGTATGCCCAAACATGTACCCGACCAGACATTAGCTTTGTTGTTGGGATGCTTGGTCGTTATCAAAGTAATCCTGGTATGGATCACTGGAAGGCTGCAAAGAAGGTATTAAGGTACTTGCAAGGTACAAAGGAGCACATGCTCACTTATAAGCGATTTGATCACCTTGAGGTGATAGGATACACAGATTCAGATTTTGCCGGGTATTTGGACACAAGGAAGTCCACATTTGGTTATCTATTCCTTTTAGCCGAGGGAGCTATTTCTTGGAAAAGTGCGAAGCAGACTGTCATTGCTGCATCCACTATGGAAGCTGAGTTTGTGGCATGTTTTATGGCCACAAATCATGGATTATGGCTGCGAAATTTTATTTCGGGACTTGGAATTGTCGACAGTATTGCCAAGCCGCTGAAAATTTATTGTGATAATGCCGCAGCAGTCTTCTTTTCTAAAAACGACAAGTATACTAGTGGTGCTAAACATATTGATCTGAAGTATCTTGCCGTTAAAGAAGATGTTCGGGAACGAAGGGTATCAATTGAACACGTAAGCACTAGATTAATGATTGCAGACCCATTAACTAAAGCATTGCCACCGAAGGCATTTCGTGAGCATGTTGAAAGAATGGGCGTTATTGGAAACTGTTAACATTATGTTAAGGTTGTGTTTTGAAATATTTGATACGTAGAGCTCAATATAGTTTCGTTTCTGTATTAAAGTATCATGTTTAGTTTATGAAGTATATATACATAAATGTTTTATTATGTTAATATAAACAGGATTTGTCTTTGATAAAGACATTATCGTGGACCATTTATGAAAAAGTTCATTATGAATCATATTGAGTTTGAAATTAATATTGTGATACATGGAAGGGACTGCGTTAAATTAGTGACGTATTACCGCCATGATTCTTATTAATTTCTAACTTAACGATGACTTATGTTCTGACCAATATAACGAAGGAATTAACTTATACTATACATATTATGTTTCAAGTTCATTATTAAATTTATGACTTATGAGCCAAGTGGGAGAATGTTAGAATAATAATTATTATTATTATTCTATGATTCATTATAATTTATTGTGGCTCATAATTAAATATTTATTTATAATTTAATAATGAAGATAATCTTGTGATTGGCCAGTTAAGAAGATAAGATTGCAGTTTCAACTGCATATGATCAGGTTTACGTTGATGGAACGTATTATTATTTATATTTCATATATGAGACTCTGGTCCTCTCCCCAACCACTCTAAAAAATTAAAACTCTCCCCATCAGAGAATTAGATTAAGTGAATGTTAAAGGTCTGGAGGGAGAAATCAAGTTTCTAACTCAAGCAACTACAGGATAACAATGGAGCCAGGTATGTTCCCAGAACGCTATTTAAATACAGTATGTGAAAGACATGTTTTCTGAAGATCTTATGTTTTAAGATTAACTTACAATATGTACATAGGCTACATCAAGTGAAAATAAGATTTTAGTTAGGTAAAATTTATGGAAGTGGTGACAATATATTAAATATTACAATTTTTTTTTGCATGGCGCAAAATTACAAAGTGCTTTCATTAATAGGTGCTCTGCACTTTTATATATCATACGATGTACTTTATAGATTAACGCAATGCATGGGGTGTAGGAATAGTCCAAAACTCTATCAAGGAGCTTACAATCTGTCCTGGTTTGGCCTGACCTGCTTAGTAAAAAGGATAGACCTGAGCTCATTTTAAGGTTATTTAACTAAATAGGTCTGGCCTATATATAGGCAATTGTTATACAAGTGGGTCATGGTCCACAGAGCTACGCGGATCATAGTCTAAAAACGATGTCGTTTCTTTAAGTAAAAAGAAACAATGGTCGTTATAATTAACTAATCCCGTATTTATGATGTACTCAAAATAAAATGAAGTTAGAATGTCTGTGTGTGTGTGTGTGTGTGTGAGATATATATTTTGAATCCAGTGCACACCCGCTAGTCAGCC